TATTTTTGGCGACATTCTTTATTATTTGTCGTAACTTCTCACATTTCACGACAACTTTTTATGTCGCCAAAGGTTTTTTGGTACTTATTTTTCTCATCACAAACTTCGCGACAAACTCAAAAGATGTGTTGCGTTAAGTCACTTATTGCAACAACTTTTTGTATGTCGCGAAAAACCTTGTCGAGAAATCACAGTTTTGTTGTAGTGTAAATTAATTTAAATTCTAATAATAATTGAAAGATGAATTGGGAATTATACAAAATCAACGAGGGAAATATCGTCTTTCAAAAGTTTCTCCTCAATCGTTCATTTTTAAATATCATAGAAGATAGATTGTAGAAGTAGATTGTGAATGGCAACTTCAAAATAAATTATAAAATTATTACTTCGATGTAACAAAAATTATTATTTGATTTGCTTAAATATAAATAGGCCAAGTCAAATTTAAAAAGTAAAGATATGTATATATGTGAATATTAGAACGCAAAAATTAGATGCACCATTTATATTTATTGAATATATCCAAAATTACAAAATATAAAAAGTTACACTTCTTTTAATTTGTCGAAAGTAGTGATATCTTTAGTCTCTTGATTTGATTTACTTAAATCCAAGTAAACATATTTGATTCATTTCGATTCGATATTAGACTCTATATCAATATAGACATGCATCTTTCTTTTAATAATCATGTAATAGTTCTAAATTGATCCAAAAGGAGATTATGATCAAAATCATAAAAATAATTTCTAAGAATTCAAAACCAAAAGCTAGTTCTAAATTCTATTCCCTTGACAATATAAGAACTAGAAACACGCAATTCTCTTGACAATTATTGTTATGAATTGATTACAAAATAATGGCAATAATGAAATAAACAAACAAATAAGAACACCAATTTCTTCTTCCTAAAGTCATTTTCCAAACCAAACTCTCAATCCTTGATGAAGTTTGATCTTCATTAATTAGGACTCTCATAACCAAAACTCCTTAGACTTCTTCTATTCAACCAAACACAAAATCACATGAAATTTGGATCACATTACAATAAATCTCTACCTTGAACCAAATTCCAACACAAGGAATTCAAAACACATTTTCAAGCAAACAACACTCATCTTCCAAACAAGCCCTGTAACGCCCCAAATTCCCAGATTTAGAAGTGTTAAAAAAATCTGCTCTTTGTTTGACC